TATTTAATTAAGTATTGCTAAATATATGTAATGTATATTTAGTATTATTTTCTTAGTATTATATATAATACTAAGAAAATAAAGTTATAAAAAATCTGTTTTTTTTTTAATTTTTCTTAATTTTATACCGATACGCCCACGGTAATTTTCAAAAATATTGTTGCGCCCTTAAGGAAAATCAGATTGCCGACCCCTGACCTAGAGCATAAACATCTTTGCTTACCATGTGATGGATGTAGCAACCAACATTAAAACAGAAGACAGGAAGAATTAAATACTGATTTATTCGATGTAATTGATTTGAATTTATTACCCGTACTCTCATTCAAAGCGGTTTTTGGAAAATATTGGAGACATTAGCGAAGAGCAGAGCGAGAGTATCCACCAAGACATCAGGACATTGGAGGAGCGATATCAAGGAAGGCGGGACTTCCACATTATGGCTGATTATTTTTGCATCTTATTACGACGAAATCAGTTAGGCTTTGTTTACTATCGAAAATCATATAAAAAGACTTTTGAGAATATAATATATAATATTACGTACTTTTTATTGTAATTTGAGGTAAAGCTAGCACATTGGCATATCTCAAAAACTAGAGCTGTTAGCAAATTTCTGTTACTGTTTTCAGGGGTCCACGAATTACTTAAAAACTATCATAACATCTAAGAAAAAATTTTAGTGTCGCGTAGTATAATAAATATTACAGTTTACAGTATTTATAATAATCAATTTTTAATTATTTCATTATTCGTATTTTATGGATAAAAGATAAGAGCTTATAAACTGGACAATAACGTTTATATATGTTTACATAAAAGGTAAATAATCAAAACATAATCAAGTGGAAATAATATGAAGAACGTTATTTTAAATTTATAAGAATTATAAAAACTGAATTGCAGAGAAAACAAAATATTTTTCGTGAAAAATGCCTTCCACAAAAACTAATCGTTTTTCCACACTATCAACGTATCAACGCAAGCAAAATATTCTTTGAATCATTCGAATCAGGTGCTCCTTTCTCTCAAAAACTGCTATTTTTCTCATGTTTTGCTTCGTATCTTCAAAAGAATTCAAATCGGATGGTCTGTTCTCTCAAAATCTCAATTTATATTTTTGCTCCATACCTCCGAAATGGCTAGGTCCTTCTTTGCCGAAAACTAATTGGCACATTTCTCCATCAGTTGGAGTCAAATGTTTTCAAAATCAAATCGGTTGAACCGTGCGCCCAAATCGTGGATGAAAAATTGTATGCACGTAAAACACACAAACATATATTATATAAACTAGATGTACCCGTTCACGCTTTGCCGTGATTTAGTTTAAATTAAAAAGTTGAACAAAGATGTGTATTTGTTACATTTAGCTTGTTACATTAGCTTACTACTATTTGTTCAACAATTTGTCTACGAATTAACCTATCAACTTAATTTAATTAATCAATCTACCATTTTACGGGCTTACCAATTTATCTATCAACCTATTTTCCTATCAACCCGTTTCACATTTCTACCAATTTTCTTGTCAACCTGTTTATCCGTCTTGTTAATTTTGTTATCATGTGTCTATCTATCAGTTCACATTTCTACCAATTTACCTGACCACCAGCTATCCAACGAATTACCTTTTCACCAATTTACTTGTCTCCAAATTCACCTGTCTATCAATTTACCTGAAAACCTATTTGCCTGTCAACCTGTTTATCAATACACCATTTTACCTGTCAACCAATTTACCTGTCATCCCGTTCTGAATGTCTACCAATCAATCTGTTCAATAATTTATCTGTTTAACAATTTGTCTACTAATTTACCTATCAATCTACCATTTAACTGGCCTATATATTTACCTGTCATTCCGTTCGACATATCTACCAATTAACATGTCAACCTGTTTATTTGTCTACATATTTGTTTTTCTACCAGTTCTCCTCTCTACCATTTTACATATCCTTCAATTTACCAGTCTACCAGTTTACCTTTATAAATTCTCTAATTTACCTTATTTATTTACGCATTATAAACAAATTAAAGCTCGAATTGATTCTACGTATTAGTTAGAAAACGTTTGTATGTAAAAAATAAAAAGGCTGTTTTTAGGGTTTTCCCGGCATTTATTACATTTTGTCTCGCCTTGAGAATCATCCTTGGACTTTTAAAAAAAAGAACATTTTAAAAAAAGAATTGGCCAAATTGGTCCAGGCGTTGTTGAGTTATGCGCTTACCAACACATTTTGCGATTCATTTTTATATATAAGATAAATATTTTGGATTGCTATTGATGCGGGATAAGTGTTTATTAGTTTTTGGCAAAGATAGGTCCAGACGTTTGGGAGATATGGGGCAAAAAGTATCGACGGAATGAAGAATTAGTTATTTTTTTGGGAAGGCAAGTCCATGGGTTTTAGAGATCCAGGCAAAACGTTCAAAAAGAATGCCATTTGGTGGCCATAAATGATCGCGGTACCAATATTAAAAAATCTGAAATTTTAGTAAGCTGACGTTACAGTTAAGCCGGCAACAGACGTAACTGTATAACTGCGCAACCTGCGACTTGCACCTGTATTCTGTAGCGTCTGCGGAGTGTTTTTTGCGCAACTTGACAGACTGGTGCAAGCGAGTAGGCATGAGCACTTTTCGATTATTTTAATTGCGCAATCATTCAAGTCGGCAAGTTCATTCGTTGGCCGCGTGTGGCAGCACATGTCCCGTTTTTATTTTACTTTGTAGCGAATTCATAATACAAGTTTATGAAGTTATCGACTATTAAAAGTTATTAAATTAGCCCTCTGAACACTTTGAATTCTCTTCTGATGCTGTAAATATATGAATTAATAAAAAAAATATATTTTTAGGTTATGTCTTGACGTTTCTTAGTTGACATTTGTGATATGCTTGAACATAAACTTGAGCTGTCTGTGGGCACTGTGAAATACGCCTGGTTGCGCATTCATTCTGTTGAACATGCATACAGTTACGTCTGTGGCCGGCTTTACTCATGGTTGGTAATCTCCGTACAAATGTCTGTAACCCGGATTTAGTTAGAGCCTCTGCCGCCGATTTCGCTCTCTTGCCTGATTTCGCACTCATCGGGTAAGAAATTTTGCGCGGGCAATAAAAAGTGGGTTCGATCGTGTTTGTTTGCATTTGATTGGTTTGAATTCAGTTGCCGGCCACAGGCGATACTGTATACTTGCGCAACCTGTGACTTGCACGTGTATTCTCTAGCGTCTGTGGGATGTTTTTGCGCAACTTGACAGACTTGTACAAGGGAGTAGGCATGAACACTTTTCGATTATTTTAATTGCGCAATCATTCAAGTCGACAAGTTCATTCGTCGGCCGCGTGTGGCAGCACATGTCCCGTTTTTGTATAACTTTGTAGCGAATACATAATTCAAATTTATGAAGTTGTACACAATTAAAAGTTATTAAATTAGCCTTCTAAACACTTCGAATTCGCTTCTGATGCTGTAAATTTATAAATTAATAGAAAAAGATATATTTTTAGGTTATGTCTTGATGTAAAATGCACATGCACACAGTTACGTCTGTGGTCGGGTTTAGTTGACATTTGTGATATGCTTGCGTAAATACTTGAACATAAACTTGAGCTGTCTGTGGGCACTGTGAAAATACGCCTGGTTGCGCATTCATTCAGTTGCACGTGCATCTGTGAAACGTCAGTGTTTTTTGTGTAAGTTTACAAATTCTTGGCGGTTTTTGTTCGTTTGTGTTTGTATATTTGTTAATAAAGATTTCCTCGGGAATTGCTCTCAAATGCATAGCCCTTTGGCAATATGAATAGAACAGCTTCAAACTCATGTGGAGGACATAATTACTACGTAGTGCATTGAAAAATTAGTCTAATTGTAATACACTTTAAGGAAAGTGGCCAGTTCTAAGAAATTATGTAAGAAATCAAGTATAAGCTTCTACAAGAAAGACATAATACACAAATAGAAATTTTCAGCTGCTTAAAATTGGATTACCACTTCACACGGATCGGGATATACTTGAGAGAAAATGAATTGCTTAAGCCGGCCACAGACGATACTGTATACTTGCGTAACCTGCGACTTGCACCTGCATTCTGTAGCGTCTGTGGGGTGTTTTTTGCGCAACTTGACAGACTGGTGCAAGCGAGTAGGCATGAGCACTTTTTGATTATTTTAATTGCGCAATCATTCAAGTCGGCAAGTTCATTCGTTGGCCGCGTGTGGCAGCACATGTCCCGTTTTTATTTTACTTTGTAGCGAATTCATAATACAAGTTTATGAAGTTATCGACTATTAAAAGTTATTAAATTAGCCCTCTGAACACTTTGAATTCTCTTCTGATGCTGTAAATATATGAATTAATAAAAAAAATATATTTTTAGGTTATGTCTTGACGTTTCTTAGTTGACATTTGTGATATGCTTGCGCAAATACTTGAACATAAACTTGAGCCGTCTGTGAGCACTGTGAAAATACACTTGGTTGCGCATTCATTCAGTTGCACATGCATACAGTTACGTCTGTTGCCGGCTTTAGAATGTCAAATTTTGCACGGGATGATTATTAGGTAGAGTTAAGAATGTCAGACGATGTAATGAACTAACACTATAATGCATTATTCACTAAATTTTACTAAATATTTATATTAATAAGTAGAAAAAGTGTAGAAGTTATTCCAGTAGATTAAATGTGATGTCTATTATATACAAACCGTCAGTGTATTTGTTGATTTATATTTCGATTTGATTGTATATTTATTACAATATAATAATATCTAGTATATTTTTGTTATTATTGTATTATTGCAAAACATAATACGATTGTAATACCAAATTTAGTTTCAAACATAGATAAGTAAACATAATGGTTTCAAATACTCGTGTATTAATTTGAATGCCAAGAGCAGCGCCATCACGTCGAGCGGAGGACCCTTTAAGTATTCCTTCTGAACGTAAAAATCGGGAGAGAGAAACGTCTATATGGTATTCTAATATTGTCTCGGGTTCTATGTGTCCTACGTTCAAAACTAACCGACTTTGTAGTTGTCTGCCTCGAGTTATTAACGTATACATTTTACTTTGACAGAATACTATTCACATAAATGATTCTTTTGTATGGGTTAATGATCTGAGGTTAGTGTTAATCTTATTACTTTGTCAGTTTTTGTTTATGAATGCGAATGATTGTCGATGATTTTTTATAGAAGTACTCCAATTTTTATGAGTGACACAATCAAGGAATCCTTGACTAAAATTTTTAAGCTACCGCGCAGTTTCATTTGTTTGTTTTCAACTGCTCACAAGTAACAGATATAACTCACGTACAAGTATATGATAATAATTACGAAGATTTAACTTTTTAATTGAAAGTTTACAAGAAAAAAATATTGGCATTTCAATGGTGAGTTATCCATTTATGAATTTTTATTTATATTCTGTCTTTAGCCAACTTTTTATAGAATAAGTAATTGAATTATTTATTTAGTATTAAATCTAGTTCACTGCTTTAAGTCATGTTGGTTTGTTGTTTTTCATAATTGTTGTTTTCAATTAACATGGAATTATTCTATTTTATAACCTCCTAGTGATATTTATTTAAGAAAATGTTCATATCTTTTTGACCAAATGTTTGAAAAGTCAGCAAAACAGCCCATCTAAGACTAATTGATTTATTTATATAGTGTTCTAATATAATGGATAATCAATTGCTCGATAATTCAAAATGCTGTTCTGAACAAAATTTGATGATGACTTTCAAAAGCCGAGCACCTTTAGAATTGCATACAAGACATATGGTCATCGTCTCAGCTATAGATGAAGAGACACTTACTTGTTGTGTACAATTGTTGTCACTACAAACAAATTTGGAACAATTAATGATTCAGATTAATAATTGTAAAAAATATCATTTTGATGAAATTCCAATAAATGGATCGACCTGTATAGGTATGGATTTCTTTCCTTTTTATATAAATTTAGTAAGCTTATGCTGTCCAAAGTATTTCTTTAGTAAAATGCTGCTTGAGGTTGCTGCTAAAAGTTATTAGTTGAGAATCAGATTTTCAGTTAATGAGTAATTTGCAATGCTAGTTGAAAAAAAATCAAAACATTGCAAATAAGGAATAGATTTTTTTTAGAATGTTGTTTTGTTATATATACATATATTTATTGTTTTATTCATTCAATTATGTGGAATAGTAACTTTTAGCATACTCAATATTTTCTATGCATGGTAAGGAAAAATCTATTCTGCTCATTTTCTTATTATAAATCATACAAATTATTTTTAATTGATTCTATAAAACTTGCATTTATTAACTACATATTTAATAATATATGTTTCAATTGTTGGATTGCATTAAAATTGATAAAATATAAAATTATATAAATAATTCATTTAGAAACTATAAAATGTGACTCAATTTTTGGTATTGTGATTCATATTATATTCTGTTGCTTTTTAACCAATTATTAATTATTTAAAATAATTTAAATAACTTTGTTTCTTACTTCATTCTAATTTTTGCTGAATGCAGAAATAACTGATATTGTAAAATAATTTTTTAGGTCAATTCAAAAATGGATTATATTATCGGGCCACAGTTATGGGTGTAGGGGATATAAATTCTCTGAAGTTATATTCAATTGATTATGGTACAACGGAAATGGTTTCCTTCGCAAAAGTTTTCCAAATCGACGCTGAATTCATTCTTGATAAGGTTTATGCATATAGATTTGCTTGCATGGTTTATTTTTAGATCCTACGCTCAAAAAGATAATGCATGAGCATTTTTGAAATATTGTAAATCAACAAGTATTAGAACTAGAAGTATTACCTTCAAAGGGTTCAGCAATACAATATTGTAATCTTTTTCTTGAGGAGAAAAAACGTGATAGACATAATTAATGAAACAATTTCTGCAGCCTGCAATATTCAACTACCAAAAAAATAATATTATGTTTGCTGAACTTAAAGTTTGTAAGGGATCCAAAAATAATGTTTTGGTATCATATATAGAAACAGTGTCACATTTTTTATTCATTTATATGAACATAAGGATCAATTAGATAATGTAATGGAAAAAATTAACATTATTGTGAGAATGCTGAAGGATTATCTATAGAACATTTGCAAGTTAACATGCCATGCGCAGCTCTCTATCTGGAGGATCAAATTTGGTATAGAGCTGTTATATTATCATGCATGATAATAAAAAAAAGTTCAATATGTAGATTATGGCAATTGTGAAACTGTAGATATATCTTGTTTGAAATTATTGAGTGAGGAATTGATATCTTGTTTGGAAGCCCAAGCACTTCTATGCTGTTTAACGGGCTTAGACAGCATTAATCAAAATGAATCTACTACAACACAATTGGAAATGTTGTGTTAGAGAAGATTCTAAATATGACGGTGGCATATTATGATGTTAACACGGGTTGTCTATTTATGAATATTATACTTTTTTTTTAGATCATCTCAGTTACAAAAATGTTTTATGAGTCAGCATCAAAGTAAAAGATTTAAGGATAATTTACCATCAGTTATGCAACAAGTTGCTGTATCTTGGTTTGTCAATCCCCACAATTTTCATTGCCAATTGAAATGTAATGATGCAAAATTGGTGGATTTGATGAAGAATATTCAAACAAAGTACAGTAAAATTAAAAGCAATGCGTTCAATGCTGAAGTAGAAGATGCTGTGATTGTGAAATATAAACAAGATAATATTATGTATAGAGGAAGGATAGTGAACATTAAAGAGCAAAGATATCTGATTCAATTTGTTGATTATGGCTTCAAAGACATTGTTGGACCTACTGATATTTTTCCAATAGAGGATGAATTTTTATTAGAGCCAACATTTGCTATAAAATGTAAAATCAATAGCATTATTCCAATCAGAATGGATAAATCAAATCTGCCACAGATATATGGCTTCTTCAAGCAAAATGTTTATGATTGTATGTTTAATGAGACTGATGCAAATGGCTACACTAATGTGGAATTAAGTCATAATGGTGCTGATGTTGGATTACAACTAGTTGAAAATGGGTTTGCTATTTTTGCTTCGGAAGATATAAGGAATGGTAAGATATATTAAGATTTGAGCAGTAATATATATTACACGATATTAAATATTTATCAATTGAACTTTGAGAGTACAAAAATTAATTATGTATATAGTTTTTTTTTTTTGCTAAACTATGATTAGATAACAAAATATTTTTTAAAGCATGTTTAATATTTGGTTATAAAAATTATGTATATTATAAAACTTTTCATACAGTAACTTCATATTAAATTTTGCATTCAAATAAACTAAATAGGATAACACATTATTTTTCATTAAAGCTATATGAAATTATTTATATTAACATTTTTGATCAATATGAGTTCAAAAATAATTAAGTTTCCATATTATAGATATTGAATTTGACTTGCTTCGTGGACAGTTTATAAAAGGAAAAATCTTAGGAGTAAAAAGTTTTCAGATATTTTTTGTGAACTTGTTTCAAACAGATTCGCAATTTGAATGTGGATTGTATAAATGGAACTGTGATGAAAATGATCCCGAATACAACAAGATGAGAAAATCTTTTTGTGAAATGACAGAAAATAATACTTTTATAATATATATTAATGAAATCCAAGGAACCAAGTAGGTTTTTAATATAATCTATATAAGTGCTTATATAACCTAGTGTTATAGAAATTTTATTTAATAATAATGTAAAATGTATTTTGCTTTTCAGATTATTTGTGACATTATACGACTCTTCTGGGTGTAAAGTTGTTCCTTTTTCATCAGATGAGTCAATATCTTCTGTATTTCCTCTATGCGCAAAGCCAGTATATAGGCAAAATATGAATGTGATCATTAGTCATCGAAATGGAGATCAAGCATTTATTCAGGAAGATTCAGACATGACGCTTCTATCGGAATTATTAGATAACCTCTTTCAGTTCTATGAAAATAATGGTGAGAATTTATTTTGATTTTCTTATATTATTATTAACTTTCTGAAGGATAAGTTTGCTTTCATAAAAAAATCCGATTCACAAATTTTATGTTTTCTCGACGTTTCAAGCCATGAGGATGTACGCGCGAAGCACGTTGATGATATGCACCATATTCATTAGATTTTTTTTTAAACAACTAAACTAATACAGTAATAATTTAGATACTTTTTATTTAGTAATTCCAATATTTTTAGAGAATATATAATTTATCTTAGCAATAAATATTTTATTTGTTTTTATTATTTAAAAAAGCATGGTCCTGCAACAAATTGCTTGTTTCTTTGAAACAATGTTCTTTAAATTTTTTAAATATTATGTTTTGTGTTTTTTTTTCTTGTGTGATTTTATTAAATATGCTGAATGACGGCGCACATACAGTGTCAAAACATACAGAATAGTTTAAATATTTATTGCTTTTTATTTGGACTATTTGGCTGCAAATAAACATTTCAAGACATATATTTATATATATATATATATATATATATATATATATATATATAATATGTTGACATATGTCTTAACAAAGTTTAAGAATCAGATACAGCATCAATAAAAACAATTCTTTTAAGAATTTATTTTATATTCATACTTTTTGGCTATAATCTTAGCCTTCATCCAGTGGAAACTGAAAATGAAATTTGAAAACTAAAATAATTGAAAAGGATTATAACCGAAACATATGGATGTAAAAGAAATTGTTTTTTTTATTGATGATATGCCTGACTGTTAGACTTATATATATATATATATATATATATATATATATATATATATATATAATTAAAATCTTGCAATATATATCTATTTATCTATCTATCCATCAATATGGCAAAATTAATTATTATCTTGTACAATATTTTAGGTGATATGCCCCAGACAGAGTTAACTGAAGGAAATGTTTGTGCAGCGAAATCTTTATTGGACAGTAATTGGTATAGGGCTATAATCATTCAATCGAGGGAGAATGATTATCTTGTCAGATATGTTGATTATGGTAATGAAGAACTTTTACCTTTTAATAACATTAAAGAACTTTCTACTGCATACTATGAATTATATATGTTATGTTTGGAAGTAATTGCTTCCAATGACTTTTGTCATGATGCTAGTGATGATTTGATTAAAGTGAATCTAAGTCGGAAAGGCAAAATGTGGTATCTAACTTCTGGCCACAAATTATGTAATAATGAACAAAGTCATCCTGCACCTGAAATATCTTCAAAATCCAACAATGTTGGCCATAAGGATTCCATTCAAACAGAATTAACTCAGACATGTGATTTAGTTATTGTTGCTCATATTGATTCACCTAGCCAATTTTGGGTGCAAGATGCCAGTAATAAGGAAGCTTTGTTACATCTGCAAGAAGTTTTGCAAAATATAGCTGAAAAATTGCCATCATTGACAAATTTGCAAGTCGGTAGAATATGTGTTGCAAAATACTCAATCGATGATCTATGGTATAGAGCAGTAATTCTTGATGCCGATAGTGATATTACTACTATAAGATTTATTGATTTTGGAAATACGGATGTGATTGAAAATTCTGATAATTTACTTAAAGATCTTGATGGTGAATTAAAACAAATTGAACCTCTTGCTACAAAGTGTTCATTATTAGCTGCTTCAGTAGAGGGAGATGATTGGAGTGAAAATGCGTGCAAAGAATTTGAAGAATTTGTCAACTTTCTGAAACTTTCAAACAAAATGTTTTGTTTAAAATAGGAAAATGTTGTTATGTAGAGTTAGAACATGATGGCATTAATATAACTGAGCAATTGATAAGGAATGGCCATGGTATTACGTGTGATGTGAGTGATATACATGACACTAGTGTTTTATGCTCAGATAGTGATGTATTGACTCAAAAAAAAACTGGTTACATTAGCCATTTTGTAGATCTCAACGAATTTTATGTGCAGCTTGAATGTGATAGAGCTGGTTTAGAGTTTTTGGAAGATGCTCTTTCAAATGCTGCTTCATTTCCTGTTTGCAAAAATCCTGTAAAAGATGTTGTTTGTGTTGCTCAGTTTGCCGATGATATGCTTTGGTACAGAGCATCAATCTTGAATGTTTTGCCTGATTGTTATGAAGTATTTTTCATAGATTTTGGCAACACCGGTACTACTAAAGAAATTCGTGATATGCCTGCATCTCTGGATAATATTGGTCAACTAGCTAAGCAGTGCTACATTTTCATTCCAGATGATCTATCAAGTTTGAGTTTTGAGATTGGTCAAAAGCTGCAAGAAATATCAGGGGACGGTCTAACTATATTTGATATTGAGTTCATGAGTTTGTGCAGTCCTTCCTAAAAACACAATTAATTTTAAATGGAGAAAATATAATAGAAAAAATATTATCTGAACACTTCTGATGCCAAATATTAGTATTTTAAATATGTTGTTTAATATTTACTTATGTTAATTGTCACATTTGACATGATTATTGTTTATTTTATAGTTTATGTGATAATTTTGTACTAATGGAATATATTAATAATTTTTTCATAGACATTCGTTTATTATTAATTCTTGTGCTCAATGAATAGGTACTTTTGATTTATGTATAAATGACTGAACTAATTTACCCATCATTTACCCCTATTTTCTTATCTATGATTTACCATTAAGTTAAATCCATTCTTACTATATGTTAATTCTTGTTCATGGCTAATATTGTTAATTTCACAAATAAAATAAATAAAATTCGTATAATGAGTAGAACGTTTAGTATAATTAGATTGAATTCTACTTATATTTGATGAAATGTTAATAATTTATTACAAGTGTTTGAAACAAAGCTTTTGTAGAAGCGCATACCAGATTTTTTTTTTAACTTCTCGAAGGGGAAGTTAATGCTTTCATAAAAAAATCCGATTTGCTAATTTTGCTTTCTCGACGTCTTGAGCCATTCTGAATCGAATGAGACCAAATTTGAAAACAGTATGTATGTGTATGTGTGTATGTGAACAGATTTTTTGCCGTAAATCGACGTTTTCTCAAAAACGGCTGGACCGAATCAAAAATTGAAAAGCCGTTAAAAAAGAATTTAAATAATTTAAATTTGATGCACCTCGATTGAGGACTATTGTTTGTCAGTTTTGTGAGATGATCGGCCAAGCCATTTCTTTATAAATAGCAGAAAAGTGAAAAAAAAATCTACGTTTTAGCCCGCAATTCTGATCGATTTTGAAAATTCAAAACATTCGAAAGATATTGGTTGGGAATTGTGCTGATTAGTTTTTGGTAGTGATCGGCCGGGCCGTTTTCTTATAATAAAGTGTAAAAAAAATTTCAAAGATTTTTATTATTATTTTTTGACGGTAGATACCATAGTCTCATAGCATAGTCTTATAGATCATACTAAAATATTATGACCCTACGACAACTCGTTTAACTTTAAAAATTCGTCAAAGTTTGCAAAAATTGGTATCGTTTTTTGGAATTTGTCAAAATTAGACCGTTGATCGACGTTTTCTCAAAAATGCCTGAACTGATTTCAGAAATTTAAAAGCCATTTGAATCATTTGATGTCTCTCAATGAGGATTATCGTCTCTCAGTTTTGTGCGACGATCGCCCGAGCCGTTTCTTTGTAATTTGAAAAAAGTGTTAAACTTTTCGTCCACATTTAAGCTCATACTACCGAATCGATTTTAAAAAATCAAAAACTTCAAAAGATATATTAGTTGAGAATGATACGAAACAGTTTAAATTTAAGCCGATTTTTATGGAACTTTTTTGGCGATATATATCATGGTATTATACAACTTACTGAAATATTACGGCCTTACGACAAGTAGTTTAATTTTAAAAATTCATCAAAGTTTGAGAAAATTAGACGATTTGCTTGGAATAACGATAGAGTGCTTGGTCTTAACCCCTTAACTTAAAATGACGAGCAGAGCTGCGTGCGATGACTAGGCCAAACTTAAATTTTACGGGCATAACCCGCGTACGATGATCGAGCCAGAAGTGAATGTTACGGACATAGCCCGCGCGCTGTAATCGAGACAGATGTAAATATTACGTTGAATATTTGATACGCAATTACAGTACGATGCAATAATTGTGGTAGACGCAAGTGTTATAAAATATATATTTATATTAAACTAAAATAAATTTAAGATATAAAAATAAAAAAAAGAAATACAAAATTAACTCTAAAATACAAAATCAGTAACTCTTAAATACAAAATCAGTAACTTCAAAATACTAAATTAGCAGTCGGTAACGGTATGATATATTATCTAGAATTTATGAACGTAATTTTTAATTTGCTAGCTTGATCAAGAACTACTAGCAACTGTTAACGATACGAAAAGGTAAGAATAATAGAATTACATCACAAGTCCTCCTGACGGGCGATGCCCGTTATGTCTACAATCGGCCGGGTTAGTCAGTCATACGAGTCGTGCGACCGGGCCCGAACGCTGCGCCTGTTTGTTACATTTTTGGCCCAAAATTTTCGAATCTAAATTGTAAGTTAAGGGGTTAATGAACATACTAAACCATTAAAGTCCTACGGAAACTGGTTCAATTATAAAAATAGTTGATATTTGAACAATTGCTCTTAGAAAATACACCGAGTTAACGTGATCGTTCGTGTTCAATGGTATTTAGAATCTTTCGTTCGTTATATTTCTTCCCTGTTTCTCTTTCCTCTTTTGTTTCTCACACCCCGTTTCCACTCAATCATCACACTTGCTGCGTAGCCTTGATCAGTGTTCATAATGCACCGCTATTGAAAACATAGAATAGGAGGGCAATATGATGACACACATCAAGTGTCGAAACGTTTAATAGAATAAATAATTTTTCTATTTATTCTTTTTTTAATTCGACGATTGGGCTGCAAAATTATTCCAAATATATATATATATATATATATATATATGATTTAGTTGTTGATTTTGATGTTGAGATATATGAGTAAGTTATTGTGTTGACATAAGCCTCGGAACTTGCAAAGTACAGAAATCGTGGCAGAAATTACCTAACGTTATTCACATTTTTGTTCAAATAAAATTATCATTTGTCTTTTTACATCATACAATAAATTATAAAAAATACATGGTGTTGACAGCTTGCAAAGTACAGAAGTCGTGGCAGAAATGACCTAACGTTATTCACATTTTTGTTCAAATAAAATTATCATTTGTCTTTTTACATCATACAATAAATTATAAAAAATATATGGTGTTGACAAGTTTAGTCGTATAAATGTTAGTGCTAATTTCTAGTGTTGTGTACACTTTCTAGATGTAACCTACCAACGTTAATAACCACTGATGATGACACTAAATTGAATGTCGAAACGTTTGGAATTAAAGATTAATTTATAAATCTTTGCTTTTTATTCTTTGATGTATCGCCCCACAATAACTTACTCATATATATATATATATATATATATATATATATATATATATATATATATATATATATATATATATATATATGATTGATTTCTTGGAGGGCGTAACATCAAGAGAAAAATAAGTAAGGTAAAGATTTTTTTATTAAAACATCTTTATTTTTCCATACGTTTCGACGTAAAATTCTACGGCATCGTCAGAGGTTTTGAATTTCTTAGATTATCACTAACATATTAATACAACTTGTAAGAATTAATGATTGGAGACAGGCACTAAATGTCATTCTTTTTATAAAAAGAATAAAAGATAAAAAGTAATTGATAAATAAAATATTATACATAAATACACGTGTATCCGAGGCCAGTGCCATACCATTGGTAATGCTTATGACTGCAGTCTTTGAAGTTGTAATATTCGGGTTTTGCTAGCGCATCCCCACTGTTCTATTCACTACGTCCAGATAGGCTTGATTAGTACCTTATACAGCAAGCAAGAGCTTGTTTTCTAGTGATAGTTTGGATTTTGGGCCCAATAACCAGTAGAGTGATTTTATTCTTTTGTCGACTTGTTTACATTTTTTAGTGGATGTGAGTAACCCAGTTCAGTTTGTGATCCATATACAGTAACCCTCGCTTTACGCGGCAAGTGCGTACCGTGCAGTATGGGGACCGTGCTATAAAAAACTTATATTTAACATACAATCAGGCTAATTCGTAGTGCGTTCTATAGAACCTTACATAGTGCAGTATGGGAACCGTGCTATGAGGACTCAGAGTTAGTACAAATCGCACCACTTTTATCATGCTGTATGGAGACCCACAAATATAACTTGAAGTAGGAGTAATACGGACGAATGATATAGACACCTTATTCAAAATTGGCGCGACAACAGTTGTCAGCTCAAACGTGTTCCTAGGCAGCTATTATATAATCAGACATAGCCTAAAAGATAAAAGTCGATAACAAAACTTACATTATAGTGCAGTATGGGAACCGTGCTATGAGAGACTCAGAGTTAGTACAAATCGCACCACTTTTATCATGCTGTATGGAGACCCACAAATATAACTTGAAGTAGGAGTAATACGGACGAAATGATATAGACACCTTATTCAAAAATTGGCGCGACACAGTTGTCAGCTCAAACGTGTTCCTAGGCAGCTATTATATAATCAGACATAGCCTAAAAGATAAAAGTCGATAACAAAACTTACATTAATACTTTTTTGATATCAAGTTACTAGAATCACTCATAGGTTGCACAACGAACTTATAGGCTGTTCACCAAATACCGTGCAATAAGAAGTCCGTGTAGTCGGAGGGATTTTTAGCTCCGTGTAGTATGGGAACCGTGTACCATGAGTGCCGTGTAAGCCGAGGGTTGACTATACAGTAGACCCGACTACACGAACTTCTTATTACACGGTATTTGGTCAACAGCCCATAAGTTCCTTGATATTGTGGGAATCAAGCAGGCTAGTCATGAGAGGAAAACAATTAGACTTGTCATTTTATATTTTTCATATCAGTAATATTTTATAATGAATCAAATTTATATATTTTTATACGATGGGAGGTTATACTTTTATATTCATTACGACTCCCACATTGGTGACCTACGACGATTGAAATGAAGACAAAGAAGGAGTTTTATTTTTCGAGGATTTGAGAAATATAGATTTTGACGCAGCACCATAATCACTGGTCTTCAGAGACGACTTATAAGGTACGTCCAGTCATCGCTTCATCATAGTTAATGCACTTACTATCTGAACCGGACTTTCGTGGTTACCCATTTGGTATACCCAGACCTCATTGTTTATTGCTGACAGAAAAAACTAATTTGGAGCCTAAACTTTTCATTGGAATGCAATTCAACCTCTCCTTGTCCGTTAACTCAACAAATCGTCTTTTGATGCTACCTCCCATTATCGGTGACAGCGAAGAGTCAAAACAAAATGAAGACATAAATTATTTATTGGATTCCACAATTCTGGACTCTTATGTTAAAGAAACCAATGATCCTGATTTGGATAAAGAGCCTACTTCTTTCTCTGATCAGAACCCATCAGATACGAATGCAACACCTGCAGAAATGGAAACTGTACCCATAAATTATGCATTCCAAACATTAAGTAATTCTGATATAACTAATGCTATTTAGATCGAGGCTGAAAATTAGAAGTTCACCGACATCGAGGTTCAGGAAATTTTCCACATGTTTTTTAGTCAGAACCTTATGCAGAGTATGGAGATGATGGAAAGTCGAATTACCTACCATATGGTGGATCTGCCGACGAAATATGAAAACTACTAATTGACTAGTACCACAATACTGCTATAATCTGCTTTCCCACCATATTTTTATAACGTGTTTCCCTGTATTTTTCTTTTAAACTGTGAGGTCAACACTGGGCAGGGAGTGTGAGGGGATCAAGCAGGCTAGTCATGATGAGAGAGGAAACAATTGGACTTGTCATTTTATATTTTACATATCAGTAATATTTTATAATGAATAAAATTTATATATTTTTATACGATGGGAGTTTATACTTTTATATTCATTACGACTCCCACAATATCAAAAGGGTATTAATGTAAGTTTTGTTATCGACTTTTATCTTTTAGACATGGCTGATTATATAATAGTTGCCTAAGAACACGTGTGAGCTGACTACTGCGTCGCGCCAATTTTTAAGGTATCAATGCCATACATGTCATTTTGTTCATATTACTCCCACTTCAAAGTGTATATCTTAGTTTCCGTACAGCACGATAAAAATGGTGCGATTTGTACCAACTCTGAGTCTATCATAACACGGTTTCCTGCTCTATATAAGTTTCCATAGAACGCACTACGAATTAGCCTGAATTGTATGTTAATTACGAGTTTTTTATAGCACGGTCCCAATACTGCACGGTACGCACTTGCCGTGTAAAGCGAGGGTTTACTGTACATACCCAAGTATTTTACTTCTGTGGTATCTGAAATAACTTTATTGTATATTCTAACTGGGGGGCATTTATCCTTTTTTAGGGTAAATGTTATATGACTGGATTTGGCATCATTGATCTTTACTCTCCATTGTTGTGACCACTTTTCAATTTTGTGTAAATGTTGTTAAAGTTTATTGCTAGCAGCATTAGGGTTGGAATCTGTAGCCGCAATTATAGTGTCGTCAGCGAACGTAGCGATTATTGTCTGGTCAGCGAGTGGTAGGTCATGGGTGTAAATAATATATAACATGGGACCAAGACAGCTATGAAACGCCTACCTCTATCTTGCGAAAGCTGGAAACTTTGGTGCTTATTTTGGTTTGAAAAGTTCTATCACTAAGTTGGCCAATTTTTTAACAACAATCCCTCATGCCAGTCTTTATCGAATGGCTGATTCACATCAAGTAAAGCAGCTGTGCAGTATTTTCCTTCTTTAAATGCCGTGTGTATTTTAATAACTATCAGATGACATATGAGTATTTCGGCCGAAATCCAAATTGATGGTCCGGAAATAATTGATGATATTTGATTATATCGAATAGCATTAGTTTCTCGAACAGATTAGCTATAGTTCAAATTAGAGAGATGGGTCTATAGGAGTCGACTAGATCTGGATTTTTGTTAGGTTTAGGAATTAGTATTATTTGAGACTGCTTTAGTAAATTTGCCCAATAGTTTAATCTTAGTATTGCGTTGATAATATATGTAAGTAGCACAAAACCTTTCTTGAGCTACTCTTTTAACAACCTGAGCGTGATACTGTCTATACCAGGAGCCTTTCTATTTTTTTATTTCCAAGCAACGCGAGCGTATTGTGTCTGGTGAAAACGTCGATGTACGAGTAATAGTAACGTTTAGAGCAAGATGACTTATTTCGTGATTGCTGATGCTGTTTCCGTTATCGTTAGGTTTGAACACTGATTCAAGATAATCAGCAAAGCAGTCGGCTTTCTCTTTATTACTCCGAGCCCACGTGAACCCTCCTGGTTTGAACATTTCAATTGGATTGCTTAAGATATTCACTCTTTTATTAGACTTGGTTGCGCGCCATAGAGAAGTGCCTCTTGTATTTAAGCAGATTTCTCGAAATTTTGCTGATTGAATAATCTTAGCTCATACTTGAGTTTGTTGTTGAGGTTATTGAGAAATGTTTTAGTTCGAGGTTCATGGTTTATCTTTAAACGCGTTTTCCTCGAAAAAGCATTTCCCGAATTTGCTGCAACGATTACTCAAAAACAAATGTTTCGATCACTATCAATTTTTTTTACATGTTCTATATATAGTTCTCCGTAAAATAAACTATCGATTTTTTGATCGGATCAAAAATCAAATTTTGGCAGTTCAAAAACGACCAAAATTTTAGGTAAAATTTGACTTTTTTTAACGCCGCCATTTTGTCATTTTTTTATTTTTTTATCGTAGGTCATTTTACAGACAGTATTATCTAGTTTAATGAGAAGGGCCTTTTTTCGCGCCGTTGGGGATCGACGATAACTTAAAAAATATTTAATTACTATGTGTTCTTAAAACATGTGTAAACATATTCTTAAAATTTTGAAATGATTGATAAAGTATTTTTTTTAACATAAATTCCCAAAAATCACCTTTTTTATTTACACTAGATGTGCCCTTTAACGTTTAAAAAAATTAATTATAAAAGAAAATTATCTACTCTCAATCAAGTTAACTGATAAATTTACTTCAATAAATTCAAAAATATACCTTGAAAAAATTAGATTAAATATTTAATCTTATCGCTCTTTTTCAAATTGCTTGCCTTATATTTGACGCATTTGCATGCATATCAGCGACTGTCGTTAGTTGTACTTCAACCTGTGCCCACGATATAGGCTAAAATGAATTTTGAAGGAAAGCATGCAATAATTGTTGGTGGAGTGTCTGGTATCGGACTATCATCTGCTGAGCTTATGCTCAAACATAAAATTGAAGTAAGGAATTGAATCTTTATTATATTTTTGTTAAAATTTAATTGAACGATATATATATATATATATATATATATATATATATATGATTTTTCTTATTTTTAATATCAATATTGTTGGCCCCCCTTATTTAGAGCATTAAGCCACCTACATTTCATTTTTTTAATATTCTACATCATATTTATATATTCTACACTATCTTCGCCATGCTTATTTATCTATGATCTTCGCATATATATTCTATAATATTTTTTATTTATATATGTACTATCTAATGTTAAGCTCTTTGCAACTGATTTCTTTATTCTTTTTTTTTCTTTTAAATATACACTTTTCGAATTCTAATCTAGCTTTCCTTCTTATTTCTGATGATTTATTCAAATTCAACTGAACTTATTTCTGATCTTCTCCAATTCTGACCTTTCCCTTGCTGTCTCCATACTTTTGATTTTATTGTAATTCAATTCAACAAATCTGATAATATTTAGTTTCTAATTAACTATTTTTTAATTCTACTTTACTTATATTTCTGTGCAGTTTCTAAATAAAATACAATTTCTATTAAACTTTTTATATTATTAATGTAATTGCCAAAAATCGATCTAATATATTTTTGATCTAAATAGCTATATATGTGATTTATAGCATAGTAAGAAAGATATCAACTATTTTCGAAATAAAAAGCAGATAATTGGCTTTTTGTCCGCCTTTTTGCTAAACTTGGAGTAGTCGAGAACTCTAAGCATTATTTAAAAAAATCTGAAGGGCGAATGTAAAAAGGTACTAATCAGTAAATTCGATTGACAGTTTCTATGACATATGATACATAATTTTAAATTTACTAATTTCTCAGTTTTGTGTCATAAACTAAAGCTTCCACCATGGTAATGACGTCTAAAATGTTCACTGGATTTGCAATATAAAATATACTAACATATTCAAAATTAAAATTCATTTGCATTTGAAATTTGCATATGCTGCAATAATATAATGTGCATGACGCTAAATTTAATTTATGGCACAAAACTGTAACGTACTTATATAGATAAAAAAATAATATTTTTAATATTATTTGAAATAATAATATTTATCCAATTTATTTCAGAAAGTATTAATAATTGATCACATGTCTGAAAAATTCGATGAATTAACCGTAGAGCTATCAAAAAAATACGGTAAAAATAAAATTATATTTTATGAATCTGATGTAAGTGATCTCAATCAATTAAAAGCTGCTTTTGGATTTGCCAGAGAAAAATTGAATAATGTGAGAATAGTTCTGAATAATGCAGCTATATTAGCTGAATCAATTTGGGAGAAGATGATTGATATCAATGTGGTAAGATTAAATATTTTTTTGTTATAATTAGGTAACATATGGTATAGGGGATATGTTATGATTTGACATAATAACCAAGTTTACAAATTTTATATTTAATTACCATTTCTATTATTGTTAGCATTTTGGTCATTATTTATTTGATTTATATCGCATTAGTCCTGAAAAACTAGGACAAAATTTTTATCACCTATTACTATAGGTTTATTGTAGAATATTATTTTATTATCTATTATTATTTGAACCTACATGTTACATTATAAGCAAAGAAAATTATGTTTTGTTTGTCATTTACATTTTTAAATTAAAATAATTTTATTTATTAACGACTTTGGCATTGCGCTTTTTGAACAAATATTTAACTTATTATTAAATCCCTGTAGAGTAAATCCTGTATCGCAATAAAATCAAAAATGAAAATTTTTATATATCTTTACGTTTCAAAATCTTCTGAACATTTTGGCATACCTTAGAAAAAAATTATGTATGTGTGTATCTGTGTATGTGTGTATGCGTGTGCGGATACAATTTTTTGCCGACGATTTCGGGAACTCGGTTCAACCGATTTCAATTGTTCAAAAAACATTCGATTGCTCTTGATAAGGATACATGCTGATTAGTTTTTGGCATAGGCAGGTCTAGCCGTATCGAAGATACGGGGCAAAAAGTGCTAAAAACGGTAGCTCAATATGCTTTGAAAAAAATTCAAAATTTCCAAACTATTTCAAAATAAAGAAAAAGAAAAAGCCTTTTTTCTAAAATAGTAAATTTTTGTAAAAAAATTATAGTTTCTCAAAAATCTTATTTTTTCAAAGTAAAATTTTTTCAAAGATGTTGATCTTTAAAAAAAAATTTTTTTTTGGTACGGGAAGTTACAGCAATTTGCTTTAAGGCACGATGCCATGCGTCCCACTAGTTTCTTTTTTAACTTCTATAAAACATAAATGTAAAAGTATACATTTACCAAAACGTGAAAGTAAAAGTATAAATTTGTCTTTTCATTTCAAATCTACCTACTGTTTTGGTAAATGTACACATTCTCCGCTAAAAGTGCACATTTCCTATGAGTGTATTTTTAACGTAACCTAGATGATTGCATATAACATATGAATATATTATATTCTCATATTATCTAGGGATGCTAGACAAGCGGTTGAATAACTACACGTTAAAAATGTACATTTTACATTTAATCGCCATATCAAATTCGTAAGGGTTGTGTGTTTTTTTGCTAATATTATCTCAAATGAATCTCTCGTTTGATGGGATTCTCACATCTTGTGTTTAAGTCGTATGTTAAAATCTATTTATGAGTTTTTTCTCAATAAATTCATCATAAACACCTGTTATACACATTCTATATTTTGTGAAATAAAATAATCAGGTGGCTTCAAAACGTAAATAATTTCTATAATCACTTTATGATAAATATTATTTGTTTACAAATGATAATGATATGGGAGTATTAAATAGGTGCGTGCGATTTGTTTAAAATTAAAAATGATCAATTTCGTTAAATTATCTAAATCAGATAAAGGGATTAAACGAATTTAGTAAATTAATCGCATTGCTAGACATACTCTAGACGATAATCTAATCATTTGTTAGCAATACTTTTGTATGTTTATTGTTTATTTAATATTAAGCTTTCAAGTTGTTTTAACTTTCGTACAGTAACTCTAAATTCTGACAGTATACATAATTTTAATCTTTGATTTTACATTATTTAAATTCGTTTTAACTACCATGCTACACGTGTTGTAACAATTTTTTCAAAATTTAATATTTTTTGTGATCCACTAATTACATTTCTATAAATAAGGATCGATGGTTGCTGTAACTATCCTTTTATTGAATTGAGTAAAAATAATTCCACAGCTGTTGTTCATCATTTCACAATTAATTATTTTCTAAAAATAAGTTCGGTATTGGGTAATTGGCATTATGTCTACTAAGTCTAATGACAAAATACGACAATGATGCATCTGATATTTTATTCTTTACTTATTTTTAAGATAATTGACTTGTTTCTAAGTAATTCTTTTTATAAATCAACGCCGTGAACTATAACTAATATAACAGAAAAATACAGTGCCTTCCGTAATAGAAATGCTTAGCATATATCAACGTAATTTACAATTATTATCATAATTGAAATCAAAGATATAGTGGTTTCTGTTTCTCAATTTACAGGTACCTACATCTTATAAACTACACATTCCGTTGTAATTTTTTTACATTAATCAAGATATCTATTTGTACATTTTAGCAATCACATTATCAAAGATTGATAAATTTGAAGCGAAATAAGATATATGAAATATAAACTTAGTTGATAATAATAACGCAAACCAAAATTTTATGATAGATCAATTTTGAATTACCTATCAAAAAATGTCGTACCTGCGCAGTTCTGTTAACTGCGCCGGCCTGCAGGACAAAAGTAATGAAATATTATGCAGGTCCGTTTACCTGTTCAATAGAGACAAAACAACATTTTGATATCGTTATTGTTCAAGATTTTGATTTCGTTATTATTGTTAAATATTGCCCCCAGCTTCCCTACGTATGTAATTAATTTCAATTTTTAGTTCAAATTTAGGACGTATTTGTTCAAACTTAGTTTTTTTGGCTAAATGGTTTTCTTTATATAAAATATATATAAATAAAAACGTATGAATTCAATTAATTTGTAATTTTTCATTATGGGTATGTTGGACTCAATACCGCCCTGGTATAATACCAACTAAAACCTCCGCTTTGCCCTTGCCTCTGATTCCCACGGAAACCACCATTACTTCGTGAGGGGAGGATCTGGAATTTTATAATTAACTTCCCGTAGGGCAAGTTATAGTAATCGCAAAAAAAATCGAAAATGAAAATTTTTATATATCTTTACGTTTCAAAGGTTTCTGAACATTTTGGCATACCTTAGAAAAAATGGATGTATGTGTGTGTGTATGTGTGTGTGTGCGGATACAAATTTTCGTCGACGATTTCGGGAACACGGATGAAGCGATTTGAATAAAAAACATTCGACTCGTATTGATAAGGAGACGTGCTGATTAGTTTTTGGCAAAGGCAGGTCTAGCCGTTCCGAAGACATGGGGCAAAAAGTGCGAAAAACAGTAACTCAGTTTTTAAGAGAACGGAGCGTCCGATTTTAATAATTCAAAAAACATTTTACTTGCATTGACGAAACGAACAACTCGTAATTTTTGGAAAGGTAGATGTAGCGGTTATGGACTCTCAATAAAAATAATTTAAAAAAATGTCATTTGGCGGTCAAAAATGTTTATTGGACATATGTACATCAAATTATCAGATATTTTATAGAGATTTTAATATTGTGTACACATTTTGTGTAATTTTTTTTTGGGTTCCGTACCAAGATTTTTAATTTCGAAGTTTTGTTATATGGTTCAAATAAATGTCCTCGACATTTTCGACAGTATGAAATAACCGATTTGTATGATTAAAAAATCATTCGGTTCGTACTCGATCGCAAAGCGTTTTTGCAAAAGGCTATTTTGCCGTTTCGGAGGTATGGAGCGTAAAGGGTGTAAAAACGGTTATGCAGTTCTTGAGAGAACAGATTATCCGATTAGATGAATTCAAAAAACATTTTGCTTGAGTAGATTGTGTGCAAAAAATGCATTTACAGAAAATTTAGTGATTTTGAAAATTAAAAAAAATAATCAAAATTTTCAAAAAAAAATTCAAAGTTTCAACAAATTTAAATTTTCGAAATTCTTCATCTTTTTCAAAAAAAACTAAATTTCAAAAAATTGCAAAATAAATTATTTTTTACAAAAATTTAATAATTTTTCGAAAATTAAAAAAAATCGCATATTTTCAAAATTTTCTAATTCTCAAAATATTAAAAAAAACGTTTCTTTTAGATTCCAAAGAATTTTAAACTTCGAAAAAAAATTTGAAAAAAAATCTAAATTATTAAAAAATTTCTAAATTATCAAAAAAATCTAATTAAAAAAAATAGACTCTTGTAAACGTACACATAAGTTGTTTATAAAATACACTCATCACCTAATTTAAAAAGCGCTTATAAATTTACAGTATGTATTTATAATAAATAATGTATTTGAAAATCTTCAAAACAATTATTGATTATTTTTTCATTCCTCGAATGTTTAATTACGGTACGGTACGTTTGAATTTGATATTGATTTGTTGAACAGAGTCTAATATTCGGGCATATCATTAATAAAAAACATAAATATCATTTGAGAATGTATTTTACGAATATAAAATTTAAAAACTAAAACAATTGATATTGAAAAATTATAAGGAGTTAAAACTTACTTACAATTTACTAATTTCAGTGTTGAAAAAAGAAGATTCGATAATCGATACGGTATAAGTTTATTGTACTACATTATGTAATATAAACAATAAACCAGTAATTATATAAGATTATATTTCACAATTATACTTACATTAAATTAATAAAATTAGTAATGTTTTGTATTAGAAAGCCAGTATTCTCGGAACTAAGCTTGCTGCCGAGCTTATGGCAGGCCACGATGGTGTTATTGTGAATACCAGCTCAATAGCAGCTCTTCTACCACATCGCTGGTTACCTGTCTACACTAGCACCAAAAGTAGTTTGCTGACATTCACACAATGTTTAGCGGTCAGTATGCTTTCAAGTATGTTTGTAAATACTACATATGTTATCAAATATTACATATTAATTATTACATTAAACACTTAAATGCAAAAAAACAAACAGCTTTATATCTTATATATAAAAATGGAGCTCTCGATCAAATGATTCGGTAAAACTCGAAAACGGCCAAACCGATTTGGCCAGTCTTAGTCTTGAAAAATTCGTGCCAATCCAGAGATGGTCGGAAAGATGTGATATTATTTCAAAATCGCGTAGAAACTTTACATTTTTAATTTGAAAGTTTGTGTAGAATTTAAATAAAATAATGGACGGTGGCTAATACGTGAAATGTCAACCTTTTTGACAGATGATGTTCAATTACGTTTAATAAGATGTTTTACGTGAATATTATTTAATTATGATTAAATTGTAATAAGTAGTTTTATTTATACACAAAAACGTTAGTAAACGGGCCGCAAGGCCCGCAAGTGTTACTAGAGACTCAAAATATCAACTTTTTTGAAATTTAATATGAAAATGCACTTTTGGGCATATTTTTCTCAAACACGGTGCTCTGAAAGATCTCATTTGTATAATTATATACTTATTGGTATTTATAAAACATTTTCTAGGTTATATTATTTTTTATTTATGTTATTTAAATTCAGAACCTAAATTTGGTATCGAAAGATCAAATGGACATTTTGTCGAATAACATTTTCTCAGTTAGGGGCCGTTCAAGTATTACGTAAGCACTATAGGGGGGCGGGAGGGGATTGTTGATTTGCTTATTTTGGGTTGACATGGGGGCCAGGGGAGTCTGGATGATGATTACGTCATAGGTAGTATTTTTATTTTTTTACATTAATTGCAAAATGTTTACGTAAGCATGGGGGTAGAGGGTAAGAGCTTTGCTTACTTTTGCTGACAAGGGGGATCGGGGGGGGGGTAAATAATTGTAATAAATCTGCTTACGTAATACTTGAACGATCCCTTATAATTTCCTAAAATTTATCGAAGAATAGATAGTAATATATGAAGGTCCGGGGTTAAAAAGGTCCACCACCGATGTGTCAAAAATCAGTAAAGTTAAGCATTGTTTAACAACAAAATTTGAAAGTAGAGAAAAAAAGATGTATAACCAGCTATACCCTTGATTTGAAAGCGGTGATCTTTGAAATAGGGGAGATAAACGGTAATCTTTGAAAATCCATAATAAAAGTATTTTCTTCCTTTGGTAGTTTTTTAGCATTAGTTAAAAATGTAATTATTTTGTAAAATACCTTTAAAATTATAATAAGACTTTAAATTTTTTTGCCACCTGCCCGTTTCAAGTTACCCCGCCTATAGGATAAAAAGGTCTAGATAACAACTTTTTGAAAGACATCAAAAAAGCACATTTCTACAATGATGAAGTAGAAGGCAGTTTACTGAACGTAGTCAGATAATTGTTCGTTTGAAATGTGTTATTTGTTGCGATATAATTGGTTTGATTTTCATAATATAATTTATAATTGCTCAAAGTTAAATTGTACCTTTGTTCTCCGTCCTCCATATATTTTTTTATTAAATTTACTTTAATTTATGGGATGTTACTTGAAACTTCTCAAAAAGCAAGTCAAAGAAGAAATACTTAATACATTTTCTATCTCTCCTCGCAGAAATTTGAAAATTTTGATAAGCTCAGTAGTATTATTTACAATTATACACAAAATCCAGAATCCAAAAAGAATCTGAAAAACTTGAAACGTAATCAATAAGTCGAAAGACCAAAAAGACTTCCTGTTTGATTCAGTGGCGGATCCAGCTTCGGCGTCAGGGGGGGGGTCATAATTGAAAAGTTTTTAAAGTCCTCAATGAGTATGTAACAAATTTAATATATATATATATATATATATATATATATATATATATATATATATTAGAAAGAGCGGGGCGTAAAGATTCGCGGGTAAAAAGGTCCACTACCGATATCTCAAAAACAAGTAAAGTTAAGAATTTCTTAACAACAATATTTGAAAGTAGAGGGAAAAATGTACAACCAGCCATCACCCTGATTCTTACGACGTTAAAAAAGCATTTTTACAAGAGATAAATTAAATAAATCTTTATTCCAACTCTGCTGGAGAATATTTTGGACAAAATATCGAATCAAGGTTATATACAGAGTTATCTCTGTAAAAAATGTATCTATAAAATTCATATTTTTCATTGGTTGAATAATGTAGCTATTATTTCGTTAAATCCCTTTAAAATTAAAAATAGTAAATTGGATTGTTTGTCCTCTCGCCGATTTTACCCCGCCTATGGGGTAAGAAAAGACCAAGTGACAATTTTTTTAAAAACAGCAAAAAAACACATTTATGTGATGAATTAGCTGTAAGTTGTACTAAAACATAGTCAGACGATTTTTTGTTTGATATGTCTGATTGGTTGTTATGTTTTTCGTTTAGTTTTCACAATATAATTGCTCAAAGTTAAATTAGACCCGCCTAACCCTATATATGTGTATTTTTATAAAAATAATCTGCGTCTTTGACGTGTGTCAAAATTTGATCTTTCCTCGACGTTTTCTCGTCTGAACCGATGTTAAAATTTAAAAACTATAAAATGGAACTGAATAAGCGCTTGCGTTGATTAGTTTTTTGAGACGATTGGTCGATCCGTTTCTTTACTATTGACAGAAAAGTGCAGAAATTATCGTCCATGTTTTTGTCAAAAATTTTTAATCGTTTTTTGCTTAAACTATTCGATTGATATCATTTGGAAATAAATGGTTTCTGGCGAAGATCGGTCAAGTCGTTTCTTTTTCATAATAGATTGCTATTTTTTGGCGATTTAAGCAAAACTTTGCATGGCGATAGAGTTTCTGCTCTAAATGAACGTACTAAACTATATTAAGGCCTGCGACAAGTGGTTTACTTATGATAATTAAAGTTTGGATTATTTGGCCGCGTTTTTAAAAAATTCACCGTGTGTTTGTATTCGGCTTCGTATTTTGTATGTGTTTGTTTTCCATCAATGTGTAATATTCAAACCATTTTTCAAAAAAATAATTACTATATTTGAAAATAAAAACAATTTGCAATAGTTTCTCACTTCAAAATGGTTTACAGCGATTAGGAATACTTCTCTAAATCAGTCATTATTAACTTCCCATAGGGTAGTTATAGTAATAGGCCGAAAATCTAACGTTTTGAAGGTTTCTGAACACTTTGCCATACTTCAGAAAAAATGGATGTGTGAGTGTGTTTTGTATGTCCGCATTCTTTCGTCCACGTTTTCGGGGGTATGGTTTAACCGATTTGAATGGTTCAAAAAACATTCGATTCTTATTGTTAGGGAGATGTGCTGATTAGTTTTGGCAAAGACAGGTCCAGCAGTTACGGAGATACGGAGTAAAGAGTGCAGAAAACACAAATCTAAATAACATTGAGTTTGTAATGATTGTGAGATGAGGTGATTAGTTTTTGGCAAAGGCAGGTCCGGCAATTTCGAAGATACTGAGCCAAATATGCAAAAAATGGCAGTTTAGAGAGAGAAACTGAGCGACCGGTTTGAATGATTCAAAAAACTTTCTGCTTGTTTTGACAAAATAATTGCTTTTCAAAAAAAAATTGTTTAAAATTTTTTTTGTATATAGAAAATAATTTAGATTTTAATTTTAATTCTGACTAAAGTTTAAAACTTATATACTATAAATAAATAGTTTTAACTTTGCAATTCAGTTTATATAGTTCTTATAAATATTAGACCCTGTTAAAATATTTATAATAATCTATTTGAAAACATTTAATATTCCTCGAACATTTCGTTACGGTACGGGAAGTTCCAGCAATTTGCCTTAAGGCACGATGCCAAACACCACTAGTTAACTAAGTTATAGTAATCGCAAAAAAATCGAAAATGAAAATTTTCATATATCTTCACGTTTCAGAGGTTTCTGAACATTTTGGCATACCTTAGAAAAAATGGATGTATGTGTGTGTGTGTGTGTGTGTATGTATGTACGTGTGTGTATGTATGTGCGGATACAAATTTTCGTCGACGATTTCGGGAACACGGATCAACCGATTTGAATAATTCAAAAAACATTCGATTCGTATTGATAAGGAGACGTGCTGATTACTTTTTGGCGAAGGCAGGTCTAGCCGTTCCGAAGATACGGGGCAAAAAGTGCCAAAAACGGTACCTCCGTTTTTAAGAGAACGGAGCGTCCGATTTGAATAATTCAAAAAACATTTTACTTGTATTGACAAGATATAGAATTGATCAAATTTTCATAAAGGCAGGTCTAGCGGTTTCGGAGATCTAATGAAAAAAGTAAAAAAAAAATGCCATTGGGCGGTTAAAAATGATTATTAGACATATGCACATCAAATTATCAGATATTTTATAGAGATTTTAACAATAAGTATACATTTTTTTTACATTCCTATGGGCTCCGTACCAATGCTTATGCGTTAGACGGCGGCGCGGCACTTGCGTGCTTTGACATTTCGTCTCTATGCAGTTCAAGCAGTGCGATTGCTTTGAAAAAAAGTTCAAAATTTCCAAAATATGTCAAAATAAAGAAAACATTTTTTTTAAAAAAAATTTTGTTTTCAAAAAAAATTTTTTTTTAAAAAAAAAGTAATATTTTGTCAATTTTATAGTTTCTCAAAAATCTATTTTTTTTCGAAGTAAAATTTTTTCAAAAATGTTAATTGTTTTTAAAAAAATAATAATTTTTGGTACGGGAAGTTCCAGCAATTTGCCTTAAGGCACGATGCCCTAATTGCCTTAAGACAGAATTACACTTACAGCTAGTTTATATATTTGCAGCGACACTAGCTCTCCTACTATTGAAAATAGTAGTAAAGAGCTACACTAGCCTCCACACTATTAGGGACCCTAATATGTGGAGGGGGTCAGGCTACCAGGTATATAACCAAAGCAGTTACCATCCTCGCTCTCTTTTCTCTTCTACTGGTCGAGCAGGCAATACCTAGAAAAACTACGGAGTCCAAGCGAGGAATACCAAG